GCACTGGCCTGCGTGTGGGCAGCCCCGGATTTATGGACACGCCGAGCGCTGCTGCCGCAAACCGCTGCTTTCAGGGATCATTCCACTCGACTGGCTGAGAAGAAAACTGCTCGGATAGAAGCTATGTCATAATAGTCGGGAACTGGATAACGACGCCCTGCCGCCGGAGCTGATTTATTCTCCTGTGCCAGCGCGGGGAATTGGTCTCCACCAAAGCAGAAAATGGAGCCGGCTCTTCAGGAGGGTTTAAAATCAAGCGGCTCTGGAGTCACCACCTGATTATCTCAGTAACCTTTCTGCAGCCAAACCATTCCCTTTCGTTCTGGGCGATGCAAAGCAGATATCCCACAGGATCAAACCATAGCTCTGTCCCCCCACTGAAGTCTAACTTTGGTTGTCAGCTCCCCACGGCAGCACCGCTGGGGCTGGGAAGGTGCCGGTGCCTCGCAGAGCGGCCCAGGGGGAAAGTGGAGAAGTTTAAGAGCAGCAGCCCAAGCGATGATGAGAGGAATGGCAAATGTTCTGGATTTACTCAGAAATCAAGAACATCTGCCTAGGTTTGCTTTGGAAAGGGAGACATGAGGGGCTGCTTGAGAGCGGAATTCCCGCCGGGCAGGGTGTGCCGGTGACCTGCTGCTCAGCGCTGCAGGGACGTGGGGCTGCCACCCTGTCACTGCAGCCTGGCCAGCACCTCTGGGGGCTGACACCCCTGGGAAGGGCTCTGGGCAGTCCAGGGAATTAGTTTAGCTCTGCGTCTCCAGTTTGGTTTTCCAGAGGAGCAGATGAAGCCATCGCACAAACGGCCAGGGCACGGAGCCTGCAGCAGGTCCTCCTGGTGATTCCTGGCAGTGTCCTGGCTGGAGGCTGTTGGAAAAGTGGCGTTTTGCCATGATCCAGCACCAACTCACCCGGATGCTGAAGCAGTCCTAAAGCAAGTTCTCTGCTGCTCCCTTTTCCCAGCACACTCTGCACAGCTGGAGGTGGCTCATGTGATAAATGGACAAGGTTCAAAAATACAACTCCTCTGAACTTTTTAACCTTACACGAAAGGGAGGAATTCTAAGAGCAGTGGATAAAATTCAATTAACTGAGATGACAGAAAATAATCTACTAAGCGCGTACATCAGGCAATTGGAAGCTTTCATACCTTTCAAAAAGGAAATAACCTATTTCTTTCCTTGTTATCTAATGACACAGGAGTTTATTTCTCTGGAAGCAGTTACAAATCTACCTAATGGGGCCTAAATGCTGTTGCCAGGCAATTAGGGGTTTATTGTGTGGCTAAATCTTTCATTTCCGTGGCGGTGATTGTGGCGACAGGGGAGCTGCCCCTCGGCCCTGCGTGTGCCTGTACCTGCTTCTTTGGGCAACCTGTGCCAGGGCCTCACCCCCCTCACGGGCAAGGATTTCTTCCATGTACCTAACCTGAATTTCCCCTCTGTCAGTTTGAAGCCATTCCCCCTTGTCCTGTCACTACAGTTCCTGATGAAGGGTCCCTCTCCAGCTTCCTTCAGATCCTGGAAGGCTGCTGAAGTCTCCTCTGAAGGCTGAACAGCCTCAGCTGTCTCAGCCTGGAGGAACTGAGGAACTTTCTCCTGTGGGAATGTGTGGTTTGAGTCCCCTCATTGTGCCAGCCTGCTGATAAAGGCGTGTTGGGGTTTGCACTGTGCTGGTAATTTTCCTTTTGGTGTGTTTGCTGCCATGACTTATTTGGTGTCTGATCCATGAGTTATCCCATTTCTCTGAGCTGATTTTAAATGTTCCTGCGCAGTCTTTGTACAGCCTGGGCAGCTTTTGGTTATGAATGAGCGCAGAGACACACGCAGGGGTATTATTTATATAAAATATATAAGCAGGAGGAATCTTCATAAATCACAGACTGCTATTATCCTGGGGTTCATGACAGCCATATCTTTTTTTTCCCCAGAAACCCAGAATACATTAAACACCCTGAGCCTTGGAAAGGGACCTTTCAAACCTGTACAATTGCTCTATTTATCCCATTCCTAGAGCAGGCAGCATTTAATATCTGAAGTCCGTTCTATACAAATCAATCTTAGAAGTAAGATTTAAGCCAGAATTTATTGAGGGAAGCTCCTGTATCTGCCTGGAGGGATATTGTGGTTTATGACCTAAGGAATAGGGTGGTTAATTCTGGAGGGAGAGCCTTTGGAAAGCTGTTTTACATCGGGCTCTGCTGGTGATCTCGGGCCTGTTTTGGGTAATATTGGCGTGTGTGTGGGCAAGGCTGTGCCTGGACCAGGATGCTGCAGAGGGATGAGAGCTGGGATGCTGTGGAAGGGCCTGGATGCTGCAGGAGCATCTCTGCCCTGCAGTGGCACCTCACTAGATCATTCCAGAAGGCCCCTCCTTGGGCTGCACTAATCAATAGCTGTGCCCAACAGTTTACTACAGCGTTTAATTAAACAAATTTACCTTTTGAGGGAAAATCCATCGCAAGCAATTTGGGTCCTGGTGTATCACAGCCTTTTTTGAGGTTACTAGTGCTTTTAACCACTGTCTAAAGTGCAGGCGGTGTTAATTAGCATATTTAGGATTAAGTAGATTTAGCATGCAGTAATCATTCCCTAATTCAGTAAGAACTATCTCTGGTGAATAGTGGACATTAATGACAGTTGCAAGAGCTTAGATATTACATAATCACTAATTACATTCTGCACAATTAGCGGAGACTCCTCAGTGTGAATGGCTAATGGCTGATTTGTGTCAGCAGCCTGTTCTGGCTGTACAGAAATATAAACAGTCTGCATAATGTTCCGAGGGAATTAGCATAGGGAAGGGGGTATTCCATGGAGCTGGGAGGCCAGGAGGAGGGCTCATGGATGGGGTGAGCCCAAGGACAGGGCAGGTGTCTGGACACACCCCTGCCCTTCCTCACCAACGACCTGGCAGTGCCGCCTCGTGCTTTGGGCTCTCTCGGCTCTCGCCGGGTGGGTGGAGGGTAAATCTGGCACCGAGGGGCCTCTGAGGGAGTCTGGGGTGTTTATTGACTGCTGAGCCAAGGGGTGTGGGACCCTAATCTCCTTGGAGACCTCGGGCTCTGTGCTTGGGGGAACAGCCAGGAATAACACACAGCCTGCCGGGGCAGGAATAGGGACTGACTGACCTGGAAGTGCTGGCTGGTTTGTCTGGGGGTTTTTTCCACCATTATTTGAAAATACATTCAGCACACAGCCACATTCAGCATTTCCTCGCCTTTAACCATTTTCTAAAAGGATGAAAAAGTAAGAAAGACTGAATTTTTTCCCCCATCGTGTGTGCCAAAGGTGCCCCTTGTGGAGAGGGCCTTCCTTGGGCAAACCCTATAGTGGTTTGGGCAACAGTGAGGTGGCAGGCAGGAGAATCAGTCCTTGCTCCACTGATTTTTAGTGATGTTTGGATCAGGACCACGGTTCCTTATAAGCAGAATTCATGCTCCCACGTTTGTTGTGTGATTAAAATGAGGAATAGTGATATTAAGCGGAGGGAATTGTTTTGGACAAATCCCAGGCTGCAGACCAGCACTGGGCCCCTATACCTTGAGGTATTGGGTATTTTAAATTAAGATTGCATGTGGTTTTAAAAGGCATTGTCAGAGCAAAAGCAATTTAACAAAAGGCAATGTATCTGACGGCGACTCTCCTGTCTGCCAAGTGCTCTTCTCCGCGAGCGCATTGTGGGGACGCAGATTACATCTCCTGAATATTTTTGTCTGTTGCTCGGTTCATTTTCATAATAATAACTCGCATCCGTCTCCATCCTTTCATGTTGAAGGGTTGCAAACTATTACACAAACAGACCCGCTCCTGATGCAGCCACCTCGAGGGGACAGCCGGCGGCTGCGGCTGCGGGGAGCGGCTGCCCCGGGGGGATGCTGAGCCCAGTGGCCTCTGGGCGGGGGGCCCAGGGGGTTCTGGGGAGCCCCATCTGCAGCACCCCCCACCCTGAACCAGCAGCACCCCCCCCCGTACCAGCAGCACGTACCTGTCAGCGTGTGGCTATTGGGGAAGCCGAGAGCGGGCGATCCCCGTCCTGCCTGCACATGGGGGGACCCACAGCAGGGCACAGGTTGCCCAGAGGAGCTGTGGCTGCCCCATCCCTGGAACTGTCCAAGGCCAGGTTGGACAGGGCTTGGAGCAACCTGGGCTAGTGGGCGTTCCTCTCCATGGCAGGGGGTTGGACCAAGGTGATCTTGAAACTCCCTTCCAACACAAACCCTGCTGGGATTCTGGGATTCTGTGTCCCAACAGCAATACCTCGAAGCCCTGGGAACCCCTGTGAGGCTGCTGGGCTGCCTCTGCCCCAGCACACGAGTGGCTCTGCTCAGTTCCACACCACCAGGCAGGAAGGACTTTGAAAGGGTTTATAACATTTCTAATGTTGTTTCCCACCAGCTGGGATGGCAGAGTGTTCCCAGTCAGGCCTGAAAATATTGGCCTTTGAGTGCCTTGTGTAGAACTCCATATTTTTACCTTGGTGGGGCCGGTAGCCGGGCTGAGGTAAGTTAGGGCCGCCCTGGAAGCAGTGGTGGGGCTGAGGGCAGCAGGATTCCTGCCCCATGTGCCAGAGGAGAGCAATTCAATGGGGCAGCTGCAGCACACAGAGCGTCATGTTTAGTTATGGATTCCTCAAACCCTAGTTTTCAGTGTCAGTGATGGTGTTTCCTGGTGTTCTGACCCAGCCCAGCACAGTGTGTGCTGTGCCCTCCCTGCCACTGGCCTTTGGAGCCTCCTCCAGGACCGGCACTGGGGGGCTGGACATGAGCCGCAGGCCCTGGCGTGGGGCAGCATTTCCCTAAGTGCTGTTTGTGGAGGCAGGTGCTATTCCTTACATTATCGCCAGGACATTTAAATCTCCCTGATTGGCATTGTTGTCTCAAAGACGGTGTTTTTCCTGCTGAGAAACTGCATTAGATCGGCAAACGGAGCTCATTTCCATTCACTCAGCAGTCTCTCTAGAAATGACATGCAGTGCTTGAAACTGTTTATTTCCAAATTCAGGCCTCCTCCGCATCAGTCATCAGCTTCAATTACCAGTTTTCCGGAGCCGAGCCATCAGGCAGTCTGACACGAGGGTCCAACCTAATTCCCACCTTCTCCAAAGTCAAGAGCATAATGTGCAGATGAAAAGGTGGAAAATAGCCTGGACTTCATTAGCATGCAGAGCCCGGCTGTTCATTTGCTTGCTGCGAATGGAAGTTCTGACACTCGGCGCCTTCTGCAATATGAGAAAAGTCCTCTTCAGAGTATATGATGTCCTCACCAGCCAGCAAAGGTCATCAAAAAGGCAGGCGCTGACCTTGCTCCCTGCTCTTCATGACTAGTTTATTGATTCCAGGAACACCTCATTACATGCCGGATCAACATATTATTGCCATGTTCAGCGGCTGAATTGTTTACAAGTGTCTTTATAACCAGCAGAAAGCCTTCCGGATGATGCATGACTACACTCATTTGGATGTGACCTGCCAATTAGATGTTATCCGATATGGTGCCGTGTGTCTTGATCCCTGACCGGGCCCGCTGCCCTGCATCGGCACGGGCCCATTTACTACTTCTTTCTAACGGCTCTTTGGGAAAGTGTCCATTAGCCTGTCAGTCTGTAAATATTTTATTTTTGTACCTCGGCGCCGCCGGCGCTCCCGCTCCGTCATTTGCTATGCATGAGGTTCATAATCAGCCGGGGGAAGGGGGGTGTTTTATGGCGGCGGCTGATAACCCACCCCATTTGCAGTCAGCGTGCACGGCCAGCGCTCCCGAGCCGCGTGCCGGCCCGGCACACACACCCCGCATATTTTATCCAGGCACCAGCACCGCCAGGCTGCTGATTTATCAGCAGGGGGAAGGCAGGAGTGAAACCCCCCCCCGGCCCCAGCCTGCCTTCCCCTGCCTCTAAAGGCCAAATAACTTACCACCCAGCACTTCCCCCTTCCCCGTCCTCTGGGTGGTTTCGTTCCCCTCCATTAATACGTGGCCCGGTTCCTCATCCCGGCCCGCAGCCAGGCAGCTCGGGGCATTTACATGTGTGGGGACACGAGAATTTCACAAATAAATCACACGGCATGACTGCTGTTTTAATCTCTCATTACAGACACTTCTGGGGCTCCATAAACCAGAGAGTGGCACAGCAACTCGACGGGCGAGTCTGTAAAGAGGCATCTCGGTGCCAAAAAGCGGTGCTGGGAACGCGCCTTCCAGGCACCCGTTGGCACAGGCAGGATTTGCCTCTTCCTGCCTCAGGGTACATCGCCCTGAGATGACAAAGGGAACCCCGGGTGTGGCTGAGGTGGCAGTGCCAGTATTTCCATGGGGTTCGAGGCCCAGCGAATGCAGGCGCACGTAGAGCTGTGCCCAGAGCTCTGCAAACATTAATTAAACTACCCAACGCCGCTTGGCAAGTGTCAGTGCTGAAATCCTCGTGCTGGAGTTCAATCCAGGGACCAAAGGGGCTTAAGGGCTTCCAGGGTGAGCCATCAGCACCGATGATCTCCAGTGTCCTGCACTGCAAAGCCAGCGTTGCATCTCCCTGATCTCCAAACTCGCCGTGCCAGGCCAGGCTCTGTAAGCCCTGAGCCACAGGAATGTGTGAAGAGCAGGGGATGCCCTGTGCTGGGTGCTTTCTGGTTCCCTCCTTACAACATGGAGCATTCAGGCACCAGGGCTGGAAAAGGGGGATTTGCATTCCTTAAAGCAGCACATTTACCTTCCAAAATAAAACCTGGGTTTGTGTGTAATTAGAGCTGAGGCAAAACACGGTCTCAGTCTGAACAGCCACAGGCTCCAGAGACAGCACAGTGCATTGATCTCAGTTTTGGAAAGGAGGAAAAAAGCCTCAATTTCCTGGCAAATCCATGGGTTTGGGCAGCCCTGGAGCTGCTGATGTTGAATATTCAGGGGGCTGATTCACCATGGTGACTGTGGGCCTTACCCTGGCACCAGCGCTGCAGCCAGGTAACAGTGTGCCCCAGCACGGGCTGGCACAGCAGCAGTTGAGTCTGTGAGCTCCGAATTCTGACTGGGATCTCCCCCTGGGGGCTGGGATCTCCCTCCCCCAGCAGAGGTACCAGGTCTTGGCCTGTCCCACAGCACCGTGCTGAGCCTGGCATTATTTATGCTGCGATAAGGCTGCAGTGGTTTATCAAGCCCCAGACATCTGTCCAAATTTGGCACCTGATCCCTTCACTTCTGTTTACGGCCCTATTTCTGGATTCCTGCTCATGGTGTAAATTCTCTCTTTAAATGGGAGAGAAAAATCAGCTCTTTATGACAGCAAACATGAAAGTTGCGTGATTATGGAGAGGAGCATTAACCTTTCCTTTAGCCTGGAGAACTTCATAATCTTTTTAAAATCAACTTTCTATTAATTTTAGAGTGATGCTTAATGCCTGAAGGGAGTGAGGAGCCATGGCATCTCCAGGGGAACTCTTGGCAACTGTAATTTAAGGTCAGGCCTGGGGTGCTGTGGGAGCCACGATCCTGCCCTGGTGTCCTGCCCCACTGCCCAGGGCAAGTGGCACCAGGAGGGGCCACAGCCCCCCCACCTTGGTGGCCTCACCAGGAGGCTCCTTAGCAGAAAAATTAGGTGGTCGCTGCATTTATTCACGGCACCCAGTGTGCAAATTTAATTTTCCTTCTCGTTGCACTCCAACAGAGTAATTGGGCAGGGCAGGGCAGGAACAAAGGACGAGGTCAGTCACTTGTCTGGCAAATGGAATTACACGTCGCTCCGAGGAGAGGTTTGGAAACCACATTCCCTGGCTGTGTCCCACCAATGTAAAAGTCAGAAGAGATGGGTAAGGCAGGAGAGGTGCTGGGCAGCCCCCTGTGTTCGTGAGGGTTTGGGTTGTTTGGAGCTTAGTGATGGTGCCGACGGGGTTGAGTGTTTCTGGATGAGAACTGGGGCAGGTGGCCTGGTGGGAGGCTGCTCTGGACCCTCAGCCAGGGTGGAGAGACAGCCAAATACTCTGTAAGCAGCTGAGAGAAGTCTCACAGTCACCAGCTCTTGTTATGGGGGACTTCAACCTACCAGGTGTCAGATGGAAATAGGGAACAGCAGAGAGGAGACAGTCCATGAGGTTCCTGGAGTGTGTGAAGGAGAAATTTCTGGCTCGGGGGGCTGAGGAGAGACCTTATGGCTCTCTGCAGCTACCTGAGAGGAGGGTGTAGCCAGGTGGGGCCGGTCCCTTCTCCCAGGTAACACATGACAGGACAAGAGAAAATGGCCTCAAATTGTGCCAGAGGAAGTTTAGTTTGGATATTTGGGAAAATTTCTTCACAGAAAGGGCTGTCCAGCCCTGGCACAGGCTGCCCAGGGCAGTGGTGGATCCCCATCCCTGGAGGGATTTAACAGCCCTGTGGATGCGGTACCTGGGGACATGGGTTAGTGGTAACCTTGGCGGTGCTGGGGGGAACTGTTGGACTCGGTGATCTTAGAGGGATTTTCCAACCTTGACAATTCCATGATTCCGTGTTTGCAGTGCGCTGGCTCCGATTAGTCCTGGGGCAGGGGGAGAGCCAGGGCTTCCAGGAGAACCCGGCCCCTTTCCAGGTGGTCATGTAGGGAATGAGGCAGCTGGGGGGCTGTAAATCCTGCCCCCAGCAGGGGTGATTCCTCCCCGCTCGCAGGGCACTGGCACTGGCCACAAACCCCCCCGGGATCCCTGGGATCCCCGGGATCCCCGGAGCGGGGGCACAGCCCGGCCCCACAGCACACACCGACCTCTCCCGAGGGGGGCTGCGGCCCCTCCTACCGGGGGGGGCTTTATTAATTACTGGTAATTAGTTATTTTACATATTGTCACTGCTGGGGGTTTGTTGCAGGGAGCTGCTGATATTTCAGGGATAAGGAAGGGTGAGTGTGTGCCGTGGAGCTGAATCCAGGACAGGGCTCCAAAGCCCGGCCGCCGGCACAGCCCTCGCCGAGTGTTTCCAAACTGAATAGTCATTGGGTTGGCAGATAATTCAGAAACTATTTGTATGAGCTGTTTATCAAATTATTAACTGCACAGATGTTGTTTGGTTGAAGAGCAGCTGAACCTTCTCTCTGCCAGCCGTGGAGACAAAGGTCTGCAGGAATAATTGGAGATGTGCATGGAATATTAAATTAATTTACTGCTCTTAATTCTTATGCAAATCCTGACCTCTGATAGAGCCTATCAATTACCCTGCACACAGGGAAAAGAAAGGAGAACAGTTTCTTTCTTTTCTTTTCCCCCCTCTCCTTTTTTTCCCGTTGTTCTCCAGTTTGAGGTTTTGTTTCTTTTTTTCTTTCTCCCTTTTGAAAGGGAACTTGGGAAAGGAAATATTTGGGGCAGGAAAAAAAGCCATTTATTTGTGGGCGAAGCAAAGGGCTGGGGTTATTTAATTGAATCTCCTGGTTGCAGCGATGTCCCCCGGGGAGTCCGGGTGCAGTCTTTAAGACTGGGGCGGCTCAGGGAAGGCCTGGGAATGGAGGCCAGAGCTGGGCTGGAATAGCTCCACACACTTCCCTAGGAGGGGCCCAGCTCTGCCAGCACTGTGTTGGGCTGCAGTGGGGCAGGACTGGAGGCCCAGGTTGATCCCGAGTGGGTTTTGGTGGGATTGGGGGCAGGAAGGGTCCAGCTGAGGGTTCGGGTGGGTTATCGGGAAGGGCTTCCCGCTGCTGGGAGCTGGGCTGGTTCTGCCAGTAATTACCAGGGAAGAAGAAAGGGAATTTGTTGTCACATCTATTGTGAGGTGCCAGGTAAAATGAAGCAGGATTTAATTGGTGCTCATTAAACAGAGCTGGTTTTCTCATAGGGAGAAAGGCCTCGTGCGGGCAGCGTTTAATTGGGGTTGTGTGCGCGCTGCTCAGCCAGCGCTTAAAGGAGCACTCCGGGCCCTGTTCTTTCATCGGAGTTTCTAATAAGGGTAAATAAATAGGATGAATAATGCCATGGGTCTCTCCCTCGACCCCTGCAGCACAGCGCTGTTCCCCCCGAGCCGCTCCCCGATATCCGTGGATCCAACACAAGTGGGATCCCTCGGCAAGCAGCACCCGGCACGGCCCCGTGGGCTCCCTTAGCACGGGAAAAGGGGAGCAAAACCCCCAGTTCCACCACCACGGAGCAGTCTGGCAGGGCTGGGATGGGGAATTCCTTGGTTAGTGACTGTCAGAGAATGGGGATGGGGCCCGGGGGGAGGGCAGGAGGGGAAAGAAGGGAAGGAAAAGAAAGGAGGGAAAAGAAAACGATTTTTTTCCTTTTTTTTTTTTTTTTTTTTTTCTTTCCCCGACCTGTAAATCCCGGGAAGCGCTGGGAGACTGCACTCCCCCTCCCACGCAGCCCACTCGGGTAATTTCATTTATCCCACAAATCTAATTAGCAATCCGTGGCTGACATTAATACGGATCTAATGAGGCCGGCGATGACCAGATTTGCGGGTGAGCGCTGACAGAGCCTTAAAGGCACATCGCGCCCTGGCATCGGCGGGACCCGGGCGGGGGAAGAGCTGCTTTAGAGGGGGGAAAAAATGAGGACGGGAAAAAAAAAAAAAAGGAAAAAAAGGGGAAAAAAAAAAAAAAGGAAAGGCCGAGGGAGGGGGAGAAAAACATGAAGAAAACCCCCGCGGGTCAGGCTTGGCTTATTAAGGGAGCTGGAGCTTTGCTGGGCGCAGCTTATCCGACAGCATCGGGCCTCCGTCCTGGCTTATCCCGAAATACTGTTCTTCAAAGGAGAAAAAGGAGGGGGGGAAATAAAGGGGGAAGAAAAAAAAAGGAAAGAAAGAAGAAGCCAGAGCCCACGGAGTCGCTGTGCAATTTATTCCGAGGGGTGGCTGTTGAGA